GTGGCTTGGATGAATCATGTTTGATTCTGTGCCTTTTTTTTTTTTTTTTTTACGTACTTGTGGAATGAGTGCCGGGCAGACAGGCAAACTTTTGTTTCTTGGATTTAGTCACGCGTCTTGCTCACAAGTGCAAAAACCACCGAGAGTGGCGAAAGGCCCGGCGGGCAGGGAGCCGCTCTCGACGGCACACTCGCTCTTTATCTGCCGAGGGCGGCCCTCCGCCAGCGCGTCGGCCTGTGGCTGTCGGTGTGAGTTGAGGATCTCCGCCATAGGCGATACCATCAAAAACAATCATCCCCGTCTTGCCTTTGACTGCTGTGATCTCGTCTTTTTGCTGCCTGAGCAAATAAAAGTGTCCTCGCTGAGGCTTAAGACTCAGCACACTTCGCACTTGGCGGCGAAAACGTTCCACAGATACGGCGGGAGAGCCGAAATATCAGAAAGAGCTCCTCGGTCCGACGCCCGGCTTTTTCTTTCATTGAGTTTGACGGACAGATAAGGCCGAGTTGGCTTAATGAAATCCGGCTGGTGATCGCAATCTGTGGTTTCCTTCCGTATGCCATCGGGCCGGTCGTTCCATTGGGCTGATGCTGATGAATGTGCGGTGCTCTGCTTCTATAAGAGACAAATGAGAGCAGGATGCGCAAGATGATTTCACCGTGTGCAGAAAATAGAGCGCCGTGGATCTCCAAAAGCAGTTGCCGCAAGAAAAGCCCAAGATGGACCAAAGAGGGACTGACACGACTTGTTGGGTTATTCATTGGGTTAAATGAACGAACGGGTGATTACTCGGAATGACCCCCAATGGCGAGGTGAATGGTGTTTTTCTGGCTGTCATATCATAATACAAGAAAAAAGAAATAAAAATGCAAAGACTGGATAGGCGGAGGCAGAAATCAGAGAGAAGGAGGGAGCGGGATGATGATTCTGACAGAGAGACGGATTGATTTGCAGCAACGTGGAGACAAGGCGGAGAGAAAAAGTCAAACGTCAGACCGGTCGATTTGAAACTCAAGCGGAGCGTGATTAAAAAAAAAAAAAAAAAAAAAAAATGCCGCTTGGGAAAAACCCCGCGGGGTTTTGATC